TTTTAGTAGAGACGGGGTTTCACCATGTTGACCAGGATGGTCTCGATCTCTTGACCTCGTGATCCACCCGCCTCGGCCTCCCAAAGTGCTGGGATTACAGGCTTGAGCCACCGCGCCCGACCGAGAACTTCTTAATAGTAGTTTTTTATGCACAGTGGGATTGGAAGATGATGCTTTTTACTGGATGTCTTTCTATATTGTGTGCTTTTTTAATGTAGGGCATACATTACTTAAATAATTTTAAAGCCTCCATAAGTAATTGTGATTTCCTGCCCATGTGTTTGGCACAAGGAGTTGCACTGGTGATAGGATTACATTATAGTCTCACCTGGAGTAGCACAGAGGACTGAAGGTTAATAGGTAAACTTTGAGGCAAACCTTAGCATTGAGGTTGCCATCAGCATTGCTTGGATGATGAGTCCGTTCTTCTGGGATGGATTATAGCCTTTACTGGACTTTATACTTTTTACCAGTAAGGCTTTAAAAAAGCCTTGAAAAAACATTAGAGAAGTGATTATCCAGACATTAATATTCACTGGTAAGTGATTATCCACACATTAATATTCTCTGATAAGACATTAATATTCCTGTGGCCCAGTTTTTTCATTCTTTTACTTTAAAGTTTGCAGCCTCAGCTGCTCTGCCTGTGGAGTAGCCATTCTTTTATTCCTTTACTTTCTTAATAAACTTGCTTGCCCCCAGCTCCCCACCAGCAAAAAAAGAATGCAGCCTCTCTTTTGTGAGTGGTGATTTCCTGTAATTCCCTCGTAGAATTGTGGAGTTACCTATGCTGAGGTTATAGGTTAGAGTATTGAGATCCAGGGTTGCCAATTCTGTGGCCTCACAACTGCTAATGGTAAAACCAGCTCTAAAGCCCAGTTCTCATGACTTTGTCCAGGGATTGCCTGTTCACCATTTCATGTTTCCTTCCCATTTGAGCATTCCCAGGAGGAAGGGGAGGTTGCCAGCCATCTAGTCCCATGGTCTCACCTTGGAATCCTTGAATATGGAGGAAAGCGTTGTCTTCTTCCTTCTTTCTCCCACATGTTGGAAATATTTTTGGCTGTTAAAAAGTACCCCTTGTTACATGTGAAATCCATTGTTTAAAAACAGTAAAATAGGGGTGGGGGACAGAGAAAAAAAAAAAAGCAGTAAAATACATACCTCCTGTCCTCCACAGACCTGAGGACCAGTGATCTCAAGAAGGTTACAGGTAAATGCAGCTGTCTCTACCGAAAGATGGCTTTTAGGGGTTAAAGAGAGAACCTTGGTCTGAAGGCTATTTTATGAAGTAACTAAAATGTTCTAAACTTTAAAAATAACTGTTCAAATAATTGCGTTGTATAGTTATTTACCAACTGGAGGGGCTGATAAGTAGAAGAAAAGTTTTTTCCTTAAACATTTTAAAGGAATATTTTTCTATTTTCTAATTAGCTAATTTTGCTCAAGTAGTCTATTAGATTTTTAGTATAGATGTTGGTTGTAACTGAATGAAAGAGGATAAGTACTTTGTCATTTTGAAAAATGAGCTTCATTTTCTTCTAGTCTAATGGATGGGATCCCAATGATATGTTTCGATATAATGAAGAAAATTATGGTGTAGTGTCTACGTATGATAGCAGCTTATCTTCATATACGTAAGTTTAAAAAGTTTGTTTTTATTTCAGTGCATTTGTCTTTGATTTTCATCAACTTAATTTATGATGTTAAATAAATGTTTTTAAGTTAAACAATTACGTGAAAGAGTTTTTCTCTTATTAGCAAGTGTGATAAATTCTCATTAAAAAGCGGAATAAATGTAGTTTGCCTGTTCCCTATTTTTATGCTCTAAACAAATTTTGGTTTTGTCTTTTAAGTTGCTAAAAAATAGCTAAATTTGCAAGGGCAGAGATTATGGTGAACAGTTTAACCAGTTTTTGAAATATGTTTCTCTAGAGAATAGGTAACAAAAAAAGTTCAAATTTTGATTTATAAATAAACAGATCACTGTAACTTTTACAGTTTTTTTTTTTTGACCTATATTCTAAACTCTTAACTTTCTTAGTAGTTGATTATGATAGATATATAAACTGTGGCTTTAAAGTACTAATTTTGCTTTTCTTTTCCTCATGTTTCAGGGTGCCCTTAGAAAGAGATAACTCAGAAGAATTTTTAAAACGGGAAGCAAGGGCAAACCAGTTAGCCGAGGAAATTGAGTCAAGTGCCCAGTACAAAGCTCGAGTGGCCCTGGAAAATGATGATAGAAGTGAGGAAGAAAAATACACAGCAGTTCAGAGAAATTCCAGTGAACGTGAGGGGCACAGCATAAACACTAGGTATTTAAAGGAAATCATGATGCAGTGTTTTGGATACACAACTCAAGGTCTGTGTGAGACGGTGTATTGTTATTATATTTCCTCTTCCTTTAATGTAGCTTAGGTAGAGAATGCAAGTAGAATTGGTTTAAGATTCTGTTAGAGAAAAGGTTATGGTAATCTTGGAAAATATGCTTTTGAGAGTAAGCTCTGTGTAGTGAAGTGTCGGTATATCATGGTGACCAATCCAAGGTCTTGAAGAGCTTGTTAAAATAGCGATCTGGTGGGGGACACGTGTAATGTCACAGCAGTACGATATGATTTGCTTGATTGAAGCCATGTTCAAAGTACTAGGAATATCCAGAGTGAGGAGGAGCTAGCATAACCTGTAGAGTCAGAGAAAGCCTCACTGAGGAGGTGACATTTTGTGATAAGATAATAGGGTCTTTGACACTCAGAGAGGAGTTGGGAGAATTTCTCACTTGATGAAAAGCTGTGTACAAGCATGGCTGTGTGAGAAAATTTGTCCAGCCCAGGAAAGGGCTGGTTGCTGCATGTGTCTGGAACACAGGGTCTGTGTCAGGTGCAGCGATGGCAGTTGATAGTAGGAACTGAGGTCATTGAAGGACGTGGTATGTCATGCTAAAAGAGCATCTGGTTGGAAGGAGATGGAATGAATAAACCCTTGGGCATCGAGGACTGGCTGAGACACAGAACAGTGGATTCAAATAGTTCAGCTCTGAGAACTTGGTAACCACCTAGATCAGAGATGAACCTGAGGCTTATTTGATAACTAAGTGACTTAGTGGATGTACTGGTAAGAGAGATGGGAAACATGGAGCAAGTTTGAGGGGGAAAACAATGACTATTTGGGCAGTTAATTGCATTTGAGGGACTTGTGGGTCTTTCATTTATTCGTAAACTTTTGTTGGGAATTACCTGCTACCTATTTGTTAAAGTAAGAGATGCATCCTGTCTTTAAGGCAGTCAGCTTAGAGTCTGGTGATTTAAATTGACACGTCCAGTGATAGATGTTGACACTGTGAGACTGGCAGTTCAGTTTGGGGTTTCATCAGCATTGCTGATATTGGAGACATGAAAAACCAAAGAACATTCAGTGAGAGAGGAGATCTCAGAGAAAATAAAGTTGAGAAAGTGAAGGACAAAAAATGTTGAAGATAGACCAAGATTGATAGTATCAGCCATGGAGAGGTCAAGTGAGATGAGAGTGAGCACACATCCGTTAAACTTAGTGCTTAAGAGCAGAATCTAAGGGAAGGAACAGGCCAGAGGCTAGTAGTCAGGGTAAGATGGAAGAACAGTGGCATCTGGGAGTGAGGCAGTTTGGTTTAGTGTAGAACCTTTTTGTAACAAGCATTCCCTTCTGCCTAGATGACTTTTAGATATGTTTCATTGGCCTGGTACCTTTTAGAATAAAATGATTTAGAGGATCTCTCATTTTCAGGGAAAATAAATATATTCCTCCTGGACAAAGAAATAGAGATGTCATATCCTGGGGAAGTGGGAGACAGAATTCACCGCGTATGGGCCAGCCTGGATCGGGCTCCATGCCATCAAGAGCCACTTCACACACTTCAGATTTCAACCCGAATTCTGGTTCAGACCAAAGAGTAGTTAATGGAGGCAAGTATTTTGACCAGATTTGTCAATATCATTGATCAAATAGTTTTCTAAATACTTAAAACAGTTTACATAACTGCTAAGAATGTGCACTTTAATGACTTGCGGAGTAGTTTTCACTTCAGCATTACTTAAAATTGGCTTTTGTGTCAAGCAAAGTAGTAAAACATTATATACGTTATTGGCATATACATTATTTAGCATGATGAAATACTCATGATATACTAAGATAAAGTGCTGCATTTAACCCAAGACAATCACTTGGCCAAAAACACTCCACATATAAAGAAATTGGAAACTTTGGATAGGTTCTCAATTTTAAAAACATAGATAATAAAATTATTTAGACATAATGTATATGGAAAATTTTAACCTATGTGCAACACTGTGGTTAATATAGATTCATTTTCATTAACTGTTTTTGTATTATGCTTCAAGAAAGGATCTCAGGTAACTTACAAGATATGATCAAGAGTCATGTGAAGAAAGTGACTAGAGAAATGTGCTTAAAAAACAACAAAAACAACTCAGTCTAAGGGTGGATGTTACAGTTTAGCAACTTAAGTTAAAGAAACCTGAATTTTTTTTTTTTTTTTTGAGACGGAGTTTCGCTCTTGTTACCCAGACTGGAGTACAATGGCGCGATCTCAGCTCACCGCAACCTCCGCCTCCTGGGTTCAGGCAATTCTCCTGCCTCAGCCTCCTGAGTAGCTGGGATTACAGGCACGCGCCACCACGCCCAGCTAATTTTTTGTATTTTTAGTAGAGACGGGGTTTCACCATGTTGACCAGGATGGTCTCGATCTGTTGACCTCGTGATCCACCCGCCTCGGCCTCCCAAAGTGCTGGGATTACAGGCTTGAGCCACCGCGCCCGGCCTGAAACCTGAATTTTTTATTAGGAAGACATTTTTTACTCTACCTGTAAATCTAGATTGAATATATCTTGTAGGTTGTGGATCTTTTCCATAAATCGGGGATACTGAACAACAGTTCTGTAGGTGGTATGGAAATGGCAATAGCAATAATATGTTACTAACTTTGAGAAAAGAGTGGATGTTCAATTTTAGATATTTAAATTTGGAAAGTTAGAAAGATAAAAATAGAGAACACTAAGTTTCCAATTTCATTTGTTTTCATTGAGTCTTTTCTCCAGAATTCCTCTCCAAATGGACACGCTTGAGTATTTTCTGTACTTAATATTGGGGGTGAAATTTCTTTGCTCACTGAGGAAAGATTTTAGTTGTTCATAAACAGAATTTTAAAGTTAAAAAACCTGAAGGGGCTGGACAATGTATGATACTCAAGTGTGTGGAACCCTATGGAGAGGAGACCTGGACTGTTTGATAAGATTAAGGTAAGTGATATGTAATGTTAAATACTAGCTGTATCTTTACCTGGGCATATACATCAGTATAGATTTATTTGGTGATGACTGCCTTGTAATTGCAGTATTTACTAAGCAGTCGCTTAGATAAGTGTTCAACTGTATAAATTATTTAGAAGGTCTCCCTTTTTCCAGTTTAATGAGATCAAGACTTTTTTGAAAGAGCAATGAATATTAGCATTTGATACTCCTGTGACTCTAGAAAAGAGTAATGTTTTATTTCTGCTTAAATGGGACTTGCTTAATGAGATTTCAAACTTAATTTTAGGTTTAAACCTGATGAAAATCTGATGACTATAAGGAACCAGCATTTCTAATTGGATATAATAGCTACTGCTTATTTTCATTATGTTTCAAAGTTAAAACTAATACAGTAAATAATCTTATTCCTGAGTAGGAATTATTATGATTTATTATGTGAAATTATCTAGTGTATGTTATATTCCTTTAAACAACTGATTACTTGAGAAACAGTTATAGAAGCAGGATTAATAGGCAAAGTCTTAACTGTCTTCTTCAGTAGTGTGTGTAGATCCTAATTAACCCTTTGGGAACGTGTATTCATTTAAACAGACTTAATCTTAAGGAGGTTAAAGTAAAATGTGAATTTATGTCAGTTAAGTTATGCTAAAACTTATCACAAATCAAATGACTGTCCTCAAAGGGTTAAAATGTACAAGAAATCATTTTTGTCATTTTACTTTTTTTTCTGTTTACTTTTTTCCCTCATTTTTTTCTTTAGTTTTTATACTTTCCTTCATATCATTTGTTCTGTCAGGTGTTCCCTGGCCATCGCCTTGCCCATCTCCTTCCTCTCGCCCACCTTCTCGCTACCAGTCAGGTCCCAACTCTCTTCCACCTCGGGCAGCCACCCCTACACGGCCGCCCTCCAGGCCCCCCTCGCGGCCATCCAGACCCCCGTCTCACCCCTCTGCTCATGGTTCTCCAGCTCCTGTCTCTACTATGCCTAAACGCATGTCTTCAGAAGGTACAATACCACAATTTGTTCATGTTTTTGTTTGTCTTTGTTTAACTCCTATGTGAGTTTATAATTACAAAATAGTTTCCTCTTCATTATTTAATAACCTATAATTTCTGTGTTTTAACTTTAGTTTATTAAAACTATTTCTATTAACCTTTTGTTCATTAGAGAGAAATTTGATAAATGTTGTGTGAAGCTATGAACTATCTGAATCATTGTTAAAAAGAGATTTATCTCTGCCTGGTAATTGTGCTTCTTTACAGCCCAAGAAAGGTCTGCCCCACAGCCTTATTTGCACTGTATGCAGTAGTTAATGATAAACAAATGAACTTTCTTCAGCCAGTCTTGAACTAGGGTTCATTTTACAGCTACTTAGCCAAGGTCTTAGTGAACCTTCCTATTGGCTGTAAGAAGGAATGGTGTTTTCTGGGTCCTTTTTGAGAGAGACAGCCCATATAGCTGCCTTCGTGTGTCTGCCCTTAGATTAAAGTAGTTTGATTTTTAGAATGCCTGAGGAATTCTAAATTTTAACTGAGTAATTTTTTTAAAGTTAGCTTTGCAATATTATATAGTGAAAGGCTGCTTTAATTTGGGAGAAGTCCTTTAAGATAAAATTATTGATAAAAACCACGTATGAATTTGAATATTTAGCTATTTTTTCCCTTCATCAAAAATGAGAATAAAATCTTGTAATTCTTAATTAGCATTTGGTGCTAAATCCAATATTGCAACATATCAAATACATGGATATGTTGTAGAAAAGTAACATTCTAATTTAAATGCCATGCATATATTAAAAACCTGTTTTCTGAATTATAATGTCCTCTTGATATTAGTTCTGAATATTTATGTTAAAATTTTAATTTGATTTGTTCATTAAAATTACGATTGATATTGCTTATGTTGGGACAAGTAAAGTTTTCTGCAAAAGTGTGTTTCTCCTGCTTCCCTGGAGAAAAGGAGGCTGCTTTTAAATAAATTGTTACCATCTAAGCAGGCAGGTCATGTGACTTTGACACATGTAACCTTGAAGAGTAAGTTCCACTGATTTTCAAGGTGATTTCTTTACTCAAAAGGGCCTTAATAGTGGTCACTAAATGCAGAGTTTTTTTTTTTTGCAGTCCATCGTTTGAATAAGTGATGTTTATATAATGAGAAAATATTAAATAAGACATGATCATTAATGACTGTGAACATCTTTATTACATTAAGATGTAAGGACTGCTCATGGACTATTCACACAGAAATACGCCTTCTGTGTCGTTCAGAGATGTCGAATATTTCCATTTGAAAATTATAGTGTATAATATTAGCATTCTTATAAAGATCAAGTTCATGTTTAAATTCTTCTTGGGAGCAAGCCATGGTGGCTCACACCTGTAATCCCAGCACTTTGGGAGGCTGAGGCAGGCGGATCACCTGAGGTCAGGAGTTTGAGACCAGCCTGGCCAACATGGTGAAACCTTGTCTCTACTAAAAATAGAAAAATTAGCCAGGCATGGTGGTGCTTGCCTGTAATCCCAGCTACTTGGGAGGTCTGAGGCAGGAGAATTGTTTGAACCTGGGAGACAGAGGTTGCAGTGAGCTGAGATTGCACCCCTGCACTTCCAGCCTGAGCTGTGGAGAGAGACAGTATCTCAAAAAAGAAAAAAGAAACAACAACAACAACAAAAACTTCTACTGGGAACACACATTAATTTGAAGTTCTAAAGAGTATGGCTGCAGGGTGAGAGTGAGGAGCCTTGGCTTTGCCATTAGGAAAGTTTTTCACTTGGTATTAGCATCAATAGGCTTCTGTGATGAGGGCCATTCTGTCTACTGTTCTTACTTGATAGATTGGTCTAATGTACAGTAGACTGATTTAGAAAGAATAGTCACTAATGGCATGGCAGAATCAATAATGTAGAATTTGGACAATTCATATAGTGCAGATTTCTTCCCCAAATGTCAATTATATTGGTTTTACAAGTCGTGTGTTAATAGAATTTTCAGCTCACAGCCTGCTAAGCCTAAGAAACTGCTTACTTATAAGTTTACTTAAAGTTTACTTAAAGTTCAAAAGTTGATGATTATGATACAAGAGATAAACTAAAATTTTTATGAAATTTAAGAAGACTTTGTACATATATTTTAGTAGTATCAGGGGTGTATAGAGATTAATAGTCTTCTATTTAAATTTTTTTTCTAATTTTAGAAGTAATATAGAAAATTTGGGGTGGGGAAAGGTAAACTGGAAAGCTAAAAACATTTTATGTAGTCATAATTTCTAGTAGCATTGTATTTCTTTACAAATAAGACATGGGTGAAACAGATGCTATAGTTCTAAGAGTTGACATCTTACTGTTGTTTTCTTAGCACAAATTTCATCCCTTTCTTTAAAAATAAAGGGAAATAATACAATTTATTTATAAAACTTTGTAGCATTCCACAAAATAATTCTGAAAGAATTAGGATGGCCAAAAAAATATGTATGGTGGTTTTTTTCTGTTTTTAACCAAGGAAAAACTGTGGAGCGAGAGAGTGTGTCTGTGTGTATTGCACGTGTGTGTGTGTGGATGGGTGTGTTTAGCAGAAAAGTAGCACTGAGGAACATCGTGGCATTTATGTAATGTTCACTCTTTCTTCCTTAGGGCCTCCAAGGATGTCCCCAAAGGCCCAGCGACATCCTCGAAATCACAGAGTTTCTGCTGGGAGGGGTTCCATATCCAGTGGCCTAGAATTTGTATCCCACAACCCACCCAGTGAAGCAGCTACTCCTCCAGTAGCAAGGACCAGTCCCTCGGGGGGAACGTGGTCATCAGTGGTCAGTGGGGGTAGGTAACACTTGGGCATAATGACGGTACTCATTTTATCATTATACTAGATTTAAAGAGAGCTGAGCTACAACTCTGTTTGAGGAAGTGTAAGTATATATATATATATATTAAAAATAGTAGAATCACCAGGAATTGGGAAATCCATATTTTTATTCTAGGCTCTGCCACTTATTCATCATATATTAAAGCAAGTCAGACACTAACTCTGAAGTTGAGACTTCTTAGTGAGTAAAGTGTTAATAATTCTTGCCTAGTCTTTGTAAGCTTGTGCTGAGATTTCTATAAGGTTCATAAATATGGATATATTATAAAACCATAAAGTTTTATAAAGTACATCTCTAATATGAGGCAAATACAGTATGTAATACTATTTGGAGGGACCATATTTCCTTTTTAGCAGCTTTGTTCATCAGTACATTATCTATAAACATTTATTTTCGGCTTACATTGTAGTGTATTTCTATAGCATCTGTATATGGCACTAATTCCCAACTATGTTTCCATAATAAGGAATGTCAAACACAAATGAAGTGTCTAAGTTTTATCTGTGATTAGCGTAAGGAATATGCTGACAGTCAGCAGCTATAAAAGTTAGATGTTGTCAAGATTTTACGGTAAGGCTGACTGCTTTTCCTACTTTGCCAATAAATCCTTAATGCTTTGTTTCCATAACTGTGGTGAGCAAGAGCTTACGAAGAATGCTTAAAAAAAAACAAACAACTTAGTCTATTTCAATCAGTCCATAGAACCTTTAAAAGAAAAAAGATGAGCCGGGTGCGGTGGCTCACACCTGTAATCCCGGCACTTCTGGAGGCCGAGGTGGGGTGATGACTTGGGGTTTGGAGTTCAAGACTGGCCTGACCAACATGGTGAAACCCTGTCTCTACTAAAAATAAAAAATTAGCCGAGCATGGTGGCGCATGCCTGTAATCCCAGCTACTCAGGAGGCTCAGGCAGGGGAATTGCATGAACCCAGGAGGCAGAGGTTGCAGCAAGCCAAGATCATGCAATTGCACTCCAGCCTGAGTGAAAGAGGGAAACTCTCTCTCTCAAAAAAAAAAAAAAAAAGGGGAAAAGGAAAAAGATCTTCATGCTTAAGCAAAACAAAACAAAAAACCGCAGCTGTGTTAAATCTGTTTTTAGTTGATAAACACTTCTGCTGAGCTTCATGTGATGTACATTCATGTCATTGTACCATAAATTCCTTTGTACTTTCCGTTTTCTTCCTTGTTCTTCAATTATCTCAAGACTACCAAGAAAACAAAAAATTTTTTAAATCTTCTTTAGCCAGCCAGGTGTGGTGGCTCACACATGTAATCTCAGCACTTTGGGAGGCTGAGGCGGGTGGATCACGAGGTCAGGAGTTGAAGACCAGCCTGACCAACATGGTGAAACTTTGTCTCTACTAAAAATACAAAAATTAGCTGGACATCGTGGAACGTTCCTATAATCCCAGCTATTTGGGAGGCTGAGGCAGGAGAATTGCTTGAACTGGGATCCACGAGGCAGAGGTGCAGTCAGCCAAGATTGTGCCACTGTACTCCAGCCTGGGCTACAGAGTGAGACTCCATCTAAAAAAAAAAAATATGTCTTCAGCTGTTCTATTAGTCTTTTGACATTACTCAGATGGTCTGGAAATGAATTTTGAGAATAACATGAATAGAAGTGAGAGAATATAAACATAGTTGTTGGAGATAACACTCAGAATAGCATTATAGATTTGCTCTTTTTGCTAATTTGAAAAATGGCAGTTGTTGAATAATACTTTTCTTCTGACCCTTGTGACTTAAAAAAAATAAAAACACTAAAATGAAGTAATCGAATCATTTTCTCTAAACTTCGAATCTGAGCTTTGCAAATAGGTTTATAATGGTATATGAAACCTGTTAGGCCGGGCATGATGGCTCACACCTGTAATCCCAGCACCTTGGGAGGCTGAGGCGGGTGGATCACGAGGTCAGGAGTTCAAGACCAGCCTGATCAACATGGTGAAACCTCTTTTCAACTAAAAATACAAACATTAGCCAGGCATGGTAGCGTGTGCCTGTAATCCCAGCTACTCAAGAGAGGCAGGAGAATCACTTGAACCTGGGAGGTGGAGGTTACAGTGAGTTGAGATCGTGCCACTGCACTTCAGCCTGGGTGACATAGCAAGACTCTGTCTCAGGAAAAAAAAAAAAAAAGAAAAAGAAAAAGAAAGAAACTTACTTGGAAGTCATATGGGATACAAACCCTGCTTTTATTATCTTCCCCATTTGACCTACTTGGGTCTCAGTTTCCTTAATAACTGTGAAGTGGATCTTGATGTTGCTATAAACAATGTATAGGGCTGGGCATGGTGACTCATGCCTGTAATCCCAGCACTTTGGGAGGCAGAGGTAGGCAGATCACCTAAGGTCAGGAGTTTGAGACCAGCCTGGCCAGCATGGTGAAACTCCGTCTCTACTAAAAATAGAAAAATTTAGCTGGGCGTGGCAAGCGCCTATAATCACAGCTATGTCAGAGGCTGTGATTATAGGCAGAAGAATCACTTGAACTCGGAGGTGGAGGTTGTAGTGAGCCAAGATCACGCCACTGCGCTCCAGCCTAGGTGACAGAGTAAGACTGTGTCAAAAAAATTAAAAAATAATAATAGAAAAACATAGAGGATTGGCTACAAGCTACCAAAAGGCATTTTAGTATATTATTCGAAAGAGGAAGGAACAAGCCTACTTGTTAGGGATCTCTTCTTCCCACCAATCTTAAAAAAAAAAAAAAAATCAGTTGAACTTTATGTGGAATGTTTTTATCCTGCCTTAGGAATCCAGTTTTCAACTTCATTCAGAATACTGTTTTCAGAATTAATACATTTAGTTAGGAGAGAAAATTATACTTAACGTATTTGTAATTGCTGTTGTTCTTCAGATACTTGTGGTTTTAATTTCTACCAAATTCCTAACACTTTGGAAAAGTAAACAGTAATGGGATAAAGAGTAAGAGCTAGAAAGGACTGTTATACCTAGATCTTCAGAGAAGCCTCTTTGAGGAAGTGACATTTGAACTGAGAATGTAATAAATAAATTTTCCCTTTCTTTTAGTTCCAAGATTATCCCCTAAAACTCACAGACCCAGGTCTCCTAGACAGAACAGTATTGGAAATACCCCCAGTGGGCCAGTTCTTGCTTCTCCCCAAGCTGGTATTATTCCAACTGAAGCTGTTGCCATGCCTATTCCAGCTGCCTCTCCTACACCTGCTAGTCCTGCATCAAACAGAGCTGTTACCCCTTCTGGTGAGGGTACGTAACAAAGGGCTTCTAGATCCATAATTCCATTTATGAAGTTGAATGTTAGAGGTTAACGTTATATGAAAAAATTCTGGGTTATTTTTATTCATAGACAAATATTTTTAACCCACATTTAAAAGTTTATGTAAATTTTGATGTTGCTTAGTACTACTAATTTAATATATATTATGTCTGTTATAAAGGTAACACTCTTGGGTGTTAAATACCTATGTAAATAAAATTACTGCTGTTTCATATGACACCTGCAAAGAAAAAAGCCTCTGTTTAAATGAAAGCATTCTTTTCCAGAAACATAGGAAATCAAAATTATTATTTAGCGTTTTCTTGTTTTGCTTTTCTAACTTCTAACTCTGATTTTTTTTTTTTTTTTTAATTGTTTTCTAGCTAAAGATTCCAGGCTTCAAGATCAGAGGCAGAACTCTCCTGCAGGGAATAAAGAAAATATTAAGCCCAATGAAACATCACCTAGCTTCTCAAAAGCTGAAAATAAAGGTTAGAGTGTAAAGAGTCATTAGGCTTAACTGTAGAAATAGGAAGGAGTATGTCTAATTTCATGCCCATACAGAATATTTTTGTTCAACATTTTTCTTACTATTGTGATAGATAAATGTATTGCTTGACAAATTCTAAAATCCAAAATTAATATTTGAAATTATTTTTGATCATATATCTTATTCTAATTTCTATCATCTCATAGTAAAAGAATGTGAAGTTAGAGTTTAAAAAGAAATCGGTATCTAACAGTTCTTAATTTTACAGGTATATCACCAATTGTTTCTGAACATAGAAAACAGATTGATGATTTAAAGAAATTTAAAAATGATTTTAGGGTAAGTGTTGTATTAACTGATGAATTTGAGTTTTAAAAAATAGAAATTACTAAAGATGTATCATCAATTTATAAAAATGCCTTATGTAGAAACAGTCAGAAACATCAAACCATATGTATAGAAAGCAGAGCATTCTTAAAGTGTTCTTTGCCTGTCGTTTTAAGTGGGATAACTAAAATCATGAGATATTTTAACAACAATGTATAGGTATCAAATGAGAATATAGTCCTCACATTTGAAACCACCATAGGCACCACCTACTATTTAATGGTCATTTGATTACTTTGTTCAAGGAAGCTAGATTTTAGTAGAGTCAGGCCAAGTCATTAATTATCTAGTGTGGCAAATGGAAGATGTACTGGGCTCTGGTGTTCTGAGATAGTTGCAGATTTATACTTTGTACACAAATATATTGTGGTCAAAATTTTTCTGTAACATTTTTCTGTCTTAGGACATGCTTTGTTTAACATCTCTCCTTGACTACCATTTAATCTTTGCAGAATATTTACTATAATATACTATAGATATCAAGGTAGATTTTGAGACCAACAAAGAAATCTTGAAACTTAGCTTCTTAGAGAGGAAAATCTGATTACCAGCCTTTAAAAAAAAGTAGCTGAATTAAAGGATGAGTGAATCAAAGGCAAAGGCAGCTTTTCTCAGCATGTGTTTTAGCTTTCCAAATGTTAATAATTTTTTTGCTAATAGATTCATTCTTGACTTATTGGTAACATTCAAAGTATTACATACTTTAGCACATGTATCTATTCAGCTTTAATGCTATTAACAGTTTTTAGCTTAAATGTTAATTTGTTGGCTGGGCACAGTGCTCATGCCTATAATCCCACCACTTTGGGAGGCAGACATGGGCAGATCACCTAAGGTCAAGAGATCAAGACCAGCCTGGCCAACATGATGAAACCTTGTCTCTACCAAAAATAGAAAAATTAGCTGGGCGTGGTGGCGGGTGCCTGTAATCTCTGCTACTTGGAAGGCTGAGGCAGGAGAATTGCTTGAACCCAGGAGGCGGAGGTTGCAGCAAGCCGAGATCACACCACTTCACTCCATCCTGAGTGATAGAGCAAGACTCCATCTCAAAAAAAAAGTGTTGTTTTAAATTTGTTAAACAGTAGTTAACCACATACAAATGATACAGAGAACAATGAATATGACCATGTGCCCACTACCCCGCTTAATAAGTCAAGCATTCTAGTACAGTTAAGCTCCTCTTATGTACTTCCTCTTCCTCAGCTGCTTCCCCCTCTTCCCTTTCAAGAGGAAGGGGTTCTTTTCTGTGCAGTCATTTCTGTTTACACTGCATATGAATAGATCCGTGAACAATAGATGATATTTTACATAATCTTAAATTTGCTATAAATGATGTCTTGCTGTAAGTATTCTTGCCCATTTGATTTTGTTCCTCAGCATTATTTTTTTTATATTATTCAGTCCCCTCTTGTACTACACTTGGATTCAATTTAATATCTCATGAAGAAAAAACATTTTTACTTGGAAGCATGTGAATTAGCATATTTTTGTAGCAGCTTTATTGAGATACTATATAAATCAACCATTTAAAGTCCATAAATCAGTGGTTTTTAACATATTTACAATGTTGTACAACCATCATTAGTTGATTTTAAAACATACTCTTCGCCCCCAAAAGAAATGCCATACCCTTTAGCAGTTGCTCCACATTTGCCTGCAGCCCTTTTCTTACCCCTACTCCCAACCCTAAGGAACCATTAATGTACTTTATGTCTCTATGGATGTCTTTATTCTGGGCAAATTCCATTTTATACAAATGGAATAATAAACAATGTGACTTTTCTGACTGGCTTCTTTCACTTAGGGTAGTGTTATAAAGGTTCATCCATGTTGGAGCATGTTGCAGTACTTTGTTTCCTTTAACTGAATATTTCATCATATGGAAAATACCACATTTTGTTTATTCATTCTTCAGTTTGTGGCTATTTGTGGTGTTCTCAGTATTTGACTAATCTGAATAACACCGCCATGAACACGAGTGTGCAGTTTTTTTCTCATCAGATGTTTTCTTTTCGTGTGTGTGACCTACCTAGGAGTTGAATTTCTGGGTCATATGGCAACTGTGTTTAACCTTTTGAGGAACTACCAAGCTATTTGCCAAGACAACTGCACTATTTTACATTCTTACCAGCAGGGTCTGAGGGTTTCTATTTCTCCACATTCTTACTAACACTTATTTTCTTTCTTTTTCGATTATAGTCATCCTTGTGGGTTTGAAGTAGTATCTCATTGTGGCTTTAATGTGCAGTTCTTTCATGGCTAATGATGTTGAACATCTTTTGTGTTTATTGGCCATTTATATGTTCTTTGGATTGATGTCTGTTCAAGTCTTAAGCCCATTTAAAAAATTTAGCTGTCTTTTTATTATTGGGTTTTAGCAGTTCTTTATCTATTCTGTGTACAAGTCCCCATTAGATATATGGTTTGCAAATGTTTTCTCCTATTCTGTTGGTTGTCTTTTTACTTTTTCATCCCTTGAAGCACAAAAATTTTTAATTTTGATGAAGTCCAATTTATCTCATTTTGTTGTTCTTATTTATGCTCTTGGTGTCATATCTAAGAAACCACTGCCTAGTCAGTCATTAAGGTTTATTACTCTTCGGTTATTTTTAAGAATTACATTTAGAGGTGTGATCCATTTTGACCAATTTTTTTTTCCTTTGATACAGTCTCACTCTGTTGCCTAGGCTGGAATGCAATGGGTTTGTGTGATCTTTGCTCACAGCAGCCTCAGCCTCCTGGGCTCAATCAAGCCGTAGCTGGTACTACAGGTGTGCACCACCACCTCTTGCTATTAATAACTTTTGTGTTTTTTTGTAGAGACAGAATTTTACCATGTTGTCCAGGCTGCTCTCAAACACTTGGACTCAAGTGATCCATCCACCTCAGCCTCCCAAAGTGAAAAATTGCTTTCACTTTGTACTGCAGACTTGCCTTGAATTCTTTCTTGTGTGAGACCCAAGAGCCCTCTCTTGGGATCTGGATCAGGACCCTTATGAAATAAATTGTTACTAAAAAAAACAGACAGGGTCATAGGAGAGTGACTTGGTGCTCAGCCCATTTTGAGCAATTTTTAAATATAAGGTGGGGCTAAAATTCATTCGTTATATTAATTTTTTATTTCTAATTGACACATAGCCATACATTTGTAACCATTTTTTCTCTAAAAAACAGAATCAAGATTCATTCTTCTGTATGTAGATGTTAGTTGTCCCAGCACCATCTGTTAAAAAGACTATTCTTGGCCAGGCACGGTGGCTCTCATGCCTGTAATCCCAGCACTTTGGGAGTCCCAGGCAGGCAAATCACATAAAGTCAGGAGTTTGAAATCAGTCTCACCAACATGGTGAAACCCCATCTCTACTAAAAATACAAAAATTAGCTGGGTGTGGTTGTGCATACCTGTAGTCCCAGTGCTCCAGTGGCTGAGGCAGGAGATTGGCTTGAACCTGGGAAGTAGAAGTTGCAGTGAGCTGAGATCATGCCACTGCACTCCAGCCTGGGCAAGGGAGTGAGACTCCATCTCAAAAAAAAGACTGTTCTTTCCGCCACTGAATTATATTCACATGCTTGTTGGAAGTATGTTGACTACAAATGTGAAAGTTTATTAGTGGCCTTTGAATTCTCCTGTACTGAATCTATATGTCTTATCCTTATACCAGTACCATGAGTTACTGTATTTTAAAAGGCTATACTTTTTCATTTCACTTAGCAGAAAACATTTTAGCTGTCATCACAACTTTCTGTAAACCTTCATTAATGCTTGACTCTTAAATTCCAAGGAGCAACGTAAAAAGTCTATCTCTTTAGGAGTTTTAGCCTTATTACTTTTAGGAGCCTGAATAACCACATGTATTATTAATAAGCCTCTTAGGAATAACTCCTTGATACATAGGGCATACCAGGAAGAATAGAAATGGTTTTTAAAAAATGAGAGTGGGCTGGGCGCAGTGGCTCATGCCTGTAATCCCAGCACTTTGGGAGGCTGAAGCAGGTGGATTATTTGAGGTCAGGAGTTTGAGACCAGCCTGGTCAATATGGCAAAACCCCATCTCTACTAAAAATAGAAAAATTAGCCAGGCGTGGTGGCACATGCCTGTAATTCCAGCTGCTCAGGAGGCTGAGGTAGAAGAATCGCTTGAACCAGGAGGTGGAGGTTGCAGTGATCCACGATCACACCACTCACTGGGTGACGGAGCAAGACTCTGTCTCAAAGGAAAAAAAAAAAAAAGAGTGAAAAAAAATGTATCCTAGAACTTAAAGTATATTTTTTTAAAAAGTGAACTTTCTAATTGTTCTCTTCAGAAAATATAATGTTATTCTCTTAGTTTTTTTGCATATTTCCTGTGTACCAGATGCTGTTCTTCATGCTTCTGTGTTAAATCTTCTATTGCCTAACATCCCTTTCAAGCAAGTTCTGTTTGTATCTGCACTACGTATGTTAGGCAACTGAGGCAAAGAGAAGTTAAGTAATTTGCCCAAACTAGTAAATAACAGGCCTGGCCATCTGGTATTTAAGCTTCTAGGAATGCTTGAACAGTAACTAATGCATAGTGCATCCTGCACTGTTCAATCAGTGACTCATCAGAGCTCTGTTGATGCAGGACTGGAGGTAGAAATGAGAAAGATAATAAATTTTCTTTGTACCCATTAATCACCTAACTGCCCTCCTCCTCCTCACCACCCTCTCCAGCTTCTGGTAACCATCCTGCTGTCTTAATGTGTTCAATTGTTTTAATTTTTAGTGTCCACAAATGAGTAAGAATATACAAAGTTTAACTTTCTGTCCCTGGCTTATTTTACTTAACATAATGTCCTCCAGAGCCATCTACAGTGTTGCAAATGACAGGCTCTCATTCTTTTTGATGGCTGAATGGTAATCTATTGTTAATATATACCACATTTCATTTCTCCATTTGTCTGTTGATGGACACATAGGTTGATTCCAAATC